CTATTAATTAATTTTTGTATGTTTATAAACATTTAATTTCCTTTTAAATAAGAAATCAGTTTCATATCTTTACCCTACAGGTAGGGCTGTAAACGAACCAAACGAACACGAACAAGGTCTTGTTCATGTTCGTTCGTTTAAGTTAGCCGAACAACAAACGAACACGAACGGATAAACGAACGAGATTTTCTTGTTCATGTTCGTTCGTTTAACAAATTACTTTGTTCATGTTCGTTCATTTATGTTCGTGAACATGCTAAACGAACATAAACGAACAAACATAAATGAACAAAGATAAAAAAAAACACAATTGAACATATATGAACATAAACGAACATATAATATAGCAATATAATAAAAAATAATTGAATATAGATGAATATAAATAAACTTAAACGAACGAACATAAACGAACGTAAATGAACATCATAAACGAACGTTCACGAACATAAATGAACGAACGAGACCATTGTTCATGTTCGTTCATTTAACTAAACGAACGATAATTTTTGTTCACGTTCGTTCATTTATTAAATAAACGAACATAAACGAACTTCCCGCCGAACAGTTCACGAACGGTTCGCCGAACGTTCAGTTCATTTACAGCCCTACCTACAGGAAACAACTCACGATCGCTTTCTTCACAATTACCGCAGAACCCTATATCGACACCATTGCCGGTCCAATGTTGTTCTTCTACACGTGTTCTTAGTTTGTTGTTCTTTTGATATTTTTTTTTCAGGTATTCGGAAGTCGGCACAAATAGGTTTGTGTTTTGATCTTATTCTTGATTTCGTGCGTTTGTTTTCGATGATTTTGAAAATAAATACTCATGTCTTATTGAATTTGTCTAAAGTTACGATGAGTAGTAACAAGTGGATAATCACATTTTTATCTCACTACATTGACACCTAATTTTATTAGTTTGATTTTGAAATATTACTGTAAATTGTTACTTGATTAAAGGATCCATAACATTTAGTAATCAACTTTTTATACCCATTTCGGTTTCTTTGATTTTGGAAGTTATCGAACACTTCATCACTAATCAAAATTATTATTTCAATAAAAGTTTCAAAATTAGGGAAAAATACGGTTGTGTGTTCTAACTTATCGTTTTCCCAACAACATATCAAAGCCTCCATTGTTTACATAGAATTCCACATGTTTATTTTGAAGATTAGGCTAAACTGTATCGATATAAGGTGGCTATGCGTGGGGTTACGTGGCAAGGCCACCTACGCTCGAACACCGCCCCAGGCGCACGTAGGTGCCTTGTGGCGTAGTGGGGATCACGGACGAAGACAACGAATCAGAGAGAGAGAGAGAGAGAGAGAGAGAGAGAGAGAGAGAGAGAGAGAGAGAGAGAGAGAGAGAGAGAGAGAGAGAGAGAGAGAGAGAGAGAGAGAGAGAGAGTATGTATGTATGTATGTAACGTATCTTTTTTGACCGTTTGCGTCTTAAACAAAAAAAAATTAATTTTAAATTTAAATAACAACATCTTTTACCTCTTTCTCTCTCTCTCTCTCTCTATATATATATATATATATATATATATATATATATATATATATATATATATATAATACACTTTTACAAATACTTTACACTTCCAAAAAAAAAAAAAAAAAAACTTCTACTTTCTTTCACTTTTCTTCAAAAAAAATGGATCCCAACCAAAATATTCCACCCACTCCAAACATCCCAAACACTCCTAATGATTATCAAAGCTTATATGCAATTGTTGAATTCTCCAATCCAACAATAACCTTTATTCACTAACCTTCCCTACAACCCACAAATCTTCCAACAACAACGACAACGACGATGTACTTGTCCAACAACAACCTTGAAAGGGTAACGAACTTTCGACTTTGTTCACATTTAGTCACTAATTTTTTTTTTCGTTATTTATTTGCCTTTGAACTGTGGAGAAGCTTGTTGTTGGACAAGTACAACCCACTAAATGTGAACAACGACAACAACGGTAAACCATTTGGTCACCAAAAAGCATGGGAAGTTTGCCATCAAGTTCCAAAATGAGTCCTTAATCCGGAGACATTGCATTCGGACTCGACCACCGGCTCCAACAGAAGAGCAAGAACTTCTGAATCGGACACGAGTTTTGGGTTAGACCTCAATGATGACGTCGATGTTGCCAAGGGAGACGGTCCACCTGAAGTCCAACTCCGTCGACCATCGGGAAGGGACAAAGCAAAACGGGTGACGTCTTCAAGTGGGAAAGCAACCGCAACTAGCGACGACGGGCTTGTGGAATCAATAGATAAAACTTTAAGTTTTCTAGAAAAAAAAATACGAATCCACGGAGGAAGCTCGTCGCCAAAAAATTGCTCTTACCGATCTTCAAATCATAAACTCAAAGCCCCTACCAGATCTCGACCCCGAAAATCTCACGACATTTATCAAAATCCAACAACGTGTCTGTGCTAAGTATGCGGATTAGGTTCTAATATTTATGTTTTAGTTGTTGTGTATTTTTTTAAAGTAAATTAGGATAAATAAGTAATTTAGGATTATTTTTTTGTCGTTTAAGTATTTTAGAAAAAATAAGTAATTTAGGATTTTTTTTATTGTTGTTTTTTAAATATTGTAGGATTTAACTTTGTGTGTTTAAAAATTAATGCAATGTTTTTTAATTTAATGTTTTTTAATGTGTGTTTTATTTGAAATTTTTTTAATTTAATTTAATATTATTCAAAAATATATAAAAAAAATGATGTGGAGTGGTAATCATTTTTAAAGGTTAGTGGGTTGATAGTAGGTTAGTAGTGAAGGTAATATAATACTGATGTGACTTCACTTTTTGAGTAGACTGATGGTAACCATACATTTAACCTTAAATTATATTATTTGATATAGGACTGAATTTTAGTGTTAGCATATTAGGCATCATTTATTTGTTTCGGTAGGCATTCTATGAGTAACTAACCTAAATCACCCACTTTACATAAATTTATAAATTGATGTTAATCAAATTGGAACGTCATTCATATTAGAATTTGTTTTTTAAATTGTGTGTTTTATAAATATTGTTATTAACAATATAACTTGTTGGGAATTTGTTTATTCACGTTAGAATTTGTTTTATTTTTCTGATTATATTATACAGTTTTTTCATTATATGGTTATTTTATTTTAATGTTTTTATTTGTTAATGTATTATGATAGAATACTAATTTTTTAAGAAAAATCAAATACATAATATAGTGTATTCTGTAAGAATACATTATGTTTTGAATAGTGAATTCTGTTAGAAACCACTATATTTTGAAATGCATTTTTTAGTTCTAATCTTTTAATTAAGCAAATTGGTTTATTTATTTAGGATTATGAAAGAAGATAAGGTGATGCAACTTTTTATATGGTTGGAATAAGTAAGCTTTTTGTGTTAACTTTGTCATTTCAAGTATTCATATTTAACATGTTTGTTTCTGTTTCCTATATTTCTTTTACTTGTTTACATGTTACATTTTATTTTTTTGGTTTGTTTAAAATTCTAAAATTTCATTTTGCATTGATATATAATATTGATGAGGGGTCATTCTGCCGGAATTGAATCAAGTTCTGTCGGAATGAAATCATGATATTTCATCATTAATTTGTGCATTTTCTACAATTCTTGGTTATGGATTTTGGTGTAATTTACAGGTGTTCGGATTTGTACAAAAGACTAGCTTTTTATTTTTCACTTACTAATGTATTATTGGGGTCTAAACTACAACTGGATTTGGTTTCACAGATGCTTAAATAACGCACTATAAAATTGAAAGTGATTCTCAGCAACAATATTCTTGTAGAATGAATTAGTGTCTTTTGTTAGAATTTAATGTTTTGTTTTTTAAATTTTAACCGTTCTTAGTTATAATCTTTAATAATAAATGTAATTCTTAGCAATTGTTACCCATATTCTTTAAAAATTACTGTAATTTTTATTTTTATTCTTCAATTGATGGTCCAAAAATTTGTTATTTTTCAAGACGTTCATTTCGTCAAAATATGTATTCTGTCAGAATATTTATTATTGTATGGTTCAAAAATGTTTCAAGATACTCATAAACATATTCTGTTAGAATCGCCCGAATTAAAAGAATTATTATCTATTAAAATTATATTTTTAAAATTAAGAGAATTACTAACCTCTAAAAATCCAAAATTTCTTTTTTTAAATGTAGTTAATTGACTAAAATACCCTTATACTAAAATTTAGGTGATTATATAGTACATGATATCTCATAGTAATATCATAGACCCTCAACTCATGACCATTCATTCTATTCAAATATTGGTCTAGAGTTATCCTTACGACCACATATTAGATGTCATCCATATTATAACCTAGACCTATATATATATATATATATATATATATATATATATATATATATATATATATGAGTAGGATCAAATGAAAACACCCAAAAAGTTGAGAACGCGAGAACATATCTGAACCATTTAAGAAACTAAATATAAGGTTATTATTGAATGGACCGTTTATGTAAAATTGTAAAAGTTAGTCATATAGTGTAACTTCAAATGGTGATAAGGGTATTATAGTAATTGGACCTTTACCACCGTTATTTAATTCCTATAATTCATCAATCACTCGCTTATTTCCTTCTATTTCCCATCTCTCTCTCTCTCTCTCTCTCTCTCTCTCTCTCTTCATCTCTCTTTGTAAACCTAGGTACGCCTCCACCATACATCATCGATCCACCAAAAAAGGGAAAAGAATGGTGAGACCGATTGGAATCGATGAAGCCAAAACGGGGGAAATGGAAATAGGATCTCTAAATTGCTTTTGATCAGAAGGAGAGGATTCACGAACGAAGAGGGGGAGGAAATGACACAGGGGTGTTTGGAGGGAAGCTAAGCTCGTCCTCGATTGCGTTGGACCTTTTTGCCTTTACGGTGGTCCCGTCGTCGCTGCCTGTGTTGAAGCGGGGTGCGATTACCTGGATATTTCAGGTGAGCCGGAGTTCATGGAGAGGATGGAAGCCGTGTACCATGAGAAGGCGGTGGAGAAAGGTAGTTTGGTGATCTCGGCTTGTGGGTTTGATTGGATTCCGGCAGAAATAGGGTTGATGTTCAATTCCAGGCAGTGGGTTTCACCGACAGCTCCCAATCGGGTTGAAGCCTACCTGTCCCTTGAATCGGATAAAAATATAACAGGTAATTTTGGGACTTTTGAGTCTGCAGTCTTTGTTAATTTTTTTTTCTAGAAACTGATTTCATAGTTATGTAAAATCTTTTTTTTGCTGATATCATACACAGTCGATGTATTCACAGTTAATATATATATATATATATATATATATATATATATATATATATATATATACTTACGGAGAATAACTCTCAACGTGATAAACACCAAAAACCCAACAAAGCTAAAACACAGCCATGAATGTAGAAGAAGAAGTTGAAAAACTCAAAGTAGAGATCCAAAGACTCGGCAGTAAGCAAGACGATGGCTCTTACAAGGTAATTTTCTTTTCCCCTCAAATTTTCGGAGAAAATTCCTCTAAATCCGCCTCATTCTTCTAGATTTACATAATAATCTTTCATATTGCAAAATTGGTATGGATCTAGTCTCATACCTCTGACTATCGCCGATATATGATGAATTTCGTTCGTGATCTAATACAGTATTGAACAATCCGATAATTTAGGGCTTCGATCTATATAATGAGCTGAAATTGGCCATGTTTAAAACCTTGAGATTTAACAATCTGCCAATGGATATAAGATCTCGAGCAGCCGAGTGCCTGGTTTTTTGCAATTCGGTCTTGTCATATCTGTTTCTTGACAATAAAGTTCGATTTTTCATTCGATTTATTGTCATTAAATTTGTTGAATGTTGATGAAGGTGACATTTGGTCTGCTCTTCCACGATGATAGATATGCAAACATATTTGAAGCATTGGTTGGGACATTGAGAGCAGCGAAGAGGCGTAAATTATTGACATATGATGGTGAATTACTTCTTCAAGGTGTTCATGATAATGTTGAAATTGTTCTCAAACCCACTCCCACTCCCACAACAGCAGTATAAAAGATAAAATCATTATTTTATCTTGTAATTGTTCATGATTATGACTATGTTTTTTTAGATACAAAGATCAATAGGTAAGCTTTGAGTTTCAATCATTAATGATTATAACATTTCATCGATGATTATAACATTTGTTGTAGGTTTTGGATGCTCTGCAGAAGAGAAAAACACCAATTTCACATACAGACAATTTTTGAAGAAACGGAATGTTGATTGTTAATTGTATTTATTTCTTTTATTTGACGGTGTGTAGAGGAAATCGAGATGCTTCTACAAAACGGAATGTTGGAGTGCTAATATACAACCAAACAATACAAAGTGGAGAAGATCTTGACTTATTCATTTATGATTATATAATAGTAGTTAATTATTTTTATTTTAGTTTTTGTTTATGGTGTATTCATATGTGATTATAGAAAAAAAGATATGCATTACATTGTAACTTTTTTTGTTACTATATATATATATATATATATATATATATATATATATATATATATATATATATATATATATATATATATATATATATATATATTATTTATTTATGATTATAGTTGTATTTTAAATTTTCTCTATAAATTATGTTATATTCGTTTATCATTATAACATAATTCATCTATTCATTTACGATTACAACGGATTTATATATGATTACACATATGTTTTAATTTTGTATGATTATAAATATTCGGTTGAAATGCTTAATTCATCAATCTTTCTGAAATACTAGTAAACTAAAAAAAAAAAAACGTTTTTTAATCATGGTAAAATCAATCTTTTTGATTGACCGGTAAAAAAAATTAAAAAAAAAAACGTTTTTTAATCATGATAAAAAGTTTTTTTTTTTTTCTTTTTTTTGTAATCTATTTGATTAAAAATAGATTAAATTCATTTATGGTATTTGGGTAAAATATCAATCAATTAGATAATATCCTATGATTGTAGGAATTAATTAATTATTCATATTTAATTATATTGTAAAATTCCTTTTGGGTCCCTAGTTAATAATTAGTCTACAATTGTTCTTGTGTTCTCAATCTTTTAAGTGTTTTCATTTAATCATCATTATATATATATATATATATATATATATATATATATATATATATATATATATATATATATATATATATATAATAAAATCAAAAGCCATGTGTGAACTTATTACTTATTTAATACGTTTGCAGACTGTGATTTTTCAATACTAAAATCAAATATGACAAGTCTTAGTTTTTGTCGTGCTGGGTTTTATTATAATGTATGTTTGGATTTGGTGATTCTTATATAATATTAAAAATCTATATTTAGAAAAATAACTAATATGAAGATTTAACGTTTGTTTATATTATATTAGATGTTTAATTTAAGGGATTAAGTGGACTCCATATGTGATCCCACCACCAACCACTTGTTTATAAATTTAAGGAAGAAAAAAAGACATGGAAAGTGCCATGCCAGCCCGTTGATACCAACAAATATCGAATTACATTTATATGCATATGAAAAAGGTTAATTGTATATAATAACAGCATATTCCAGATTCCATATTTTTAAGTAAAATATCAATATTTTATTATTTTATTATTTCATATATATATATATATATATATATATATATATATATATATATATATATATATATATATATATATATATATATATATATATATATATATATATATCCCGTTTATAGCTTAGTTTAGCAAGTCTATCTTATTATAATTATTTCAGGTGTAAGATCTGTGTACTATACAAGTTGATTAAAAATAAAATTAAATGTTAAGATATAGACATTAAACATTCTTAAAGTAAACTTGTAAAATAAATACAAACGAAATGATTAATAAATTATTCATCTATAGTAATATAAAAACTATTGACATATTTTAAATAATTATGTTGAATATAAAGATGTAAACATTAAATATTTTTTAATATAAGCTTTAATATAAATACAAATAAAATGATGATAAATAGGTAATTGAATCTATATTAATAAAAAAAACTATTGATATATTATAAATAAATTTTATGAATCACAAATTTTCAAAGATTTCTTTAAATGCAATCATATTGTCAAGTTTACACTCATTGTTTAAAATTAATATTTTTAATCTATATTTTCTTTTAATTTTGGATAATACAAAATGCAACCCCACATTCGATAGCGACCATCACTCACTCTTGTATATTGTCATCGCAAAATATACAACTAATTGAATTTGTCGTCTTTGAAATGAAAATGAATCATTTTATCTAAAAGCGTCAAAGACATTCTTGGTATAAACGTATGGTTTTCTATATCACTTCTATAAATTATCTTTGCTTCTATAACTCGCTTACCAAATGTTATAACACAACTCGTTCCATTACACAAACCACATTTCTGATAATTATTTCTTAATAACATAACTGGAACACCGACTTTTAATACCAATTTATGAATTAGTAAACCTGACGGTTTAAGATTATTTAGAACACTAGGCGAGTGTAAACTTTCATTCAAGTCATCATGAACAAAATCTGAATGACAAAGACTAACTGAAATTAAGTATTTTTTAGCTCTTGGAAATAATGATACCGAACGACTGTTTATTTTTCTTGAACGACTTCATTTTTCAGTGCAAACATTGCTCTTTCTTGAAAAAACCAGATTCTTGACATTTTGAAGAATAGAAGGATAGACAAATTCAATTAATGAACATATATATGATCAAATTAATCAATAATGAAAAGACCATCCGAGATATCAATAATTATCTCACCATCCTTCAAAGTTCCAACCTTTTCTTTTCCTATTTCCAAAAGCCATTTTGTTGATTTTCACATGATATATTTAAGTTGATATGGTCGTTGTCATCGGCAATATATGTCGACTTATTTGACGATTTTAAATGTTGCCACAACAACCTACATATGCTACATAATAATAACAATGATTAATAAAAAATGTGTTTGTTATGTGACATACAAACTAAGAAGATATAAAACAATATTTGTGTAAAGTATTTTAAATAAAAAAAATAAATGACAATCAAATTAAATTAAATTTAAGATAAATAATTACGAATTGAGATGGTAGACATAACTTTGGATTTTTTTTATCCGTAAGCAATTTTCTATGTTTTCGCCTAGCTTTAGGGCTGGTAGAATCCGTTTCCTCTTTAAAGCATTAAAATTGTAACATATTGTTTATTAAACAAACAAATAGATAAAATTTATGAACGGATAGTCACCATAAATCTATATTATTTAGTGGGGTGTTGGTTTTGGGGAGCCGAATGTTATAAATTTGATTATTCGGGGGTTAAAGTGTAACTTTGTGATTTATTTTGTAATGATTTTTAGAAGATAGGGGGTGTTTGGTAAGTATTGGACTTATTATGAAAGGATTTTGGAAAGCTAAGGGCTGTTGGGTAAATTTTGGATTAGAGTTGAAAGGAATTCCGAAGTTAGGGTCGAAATGGTAAATTTTGGATTTTATTTGAAAAGTTTTTTTTATAGGGAAAGACCATTCATGCCATTATGGCATGAAGATTGTTAGGGTATCGATATTTAACTGTTGCATTGCCCTAACCCTAGAAGCGGATATAGCCGCCACCCTCCTTTATCTTCGGTGCCGCACCACCTCTATACCCCCATCCTTCCTCTGCCACCGCTCCATCGCCATTGTTCACCTCTCCCGTTCTTCCGATCAATTGATGGATGCCAACTTTGTGAGCCCGACAGTCGCCCCACTCCTCTGCTACTTGTTGCCAAGCATCGCCATCCATAACCTCATTGTCGGACGTCACGGGCAGCCATAAGAGCAACGATATCGAAGTTATGGAGTTGTGAACAGCGAGCCGTAATTCGTGAGCAGCCAGGACGTTTCTGGTGGGCCTAACCGCCACCTCTCTCTCTCTCTCTCTCTCTCTCTCTCTCTCTCTCTCTTTCTCTTCCGATCGTTCCTCTCGCTGTTAGACGTCATGAAAGTCATTGCTATTGCCGGAGGCTATTGCGCTATTGTGGTCGTTGTTTTCGGTGATGGATTGTCACCGCTTCCCTGCCGTAGACACCCCTCTATCTCCATTTTTGGTCCTAACTATCGTATACCACCGCAAGCCGTCGTGAAGGACGACTAATTTCGAGTCTCACCATGGGGGGGGGGGGTGTTTGTTGCTGTTGATAGTCGGGATGCGTGTGTGTATTTTCGGTTGGCTAGAAAACCCCAAGAAAACCACCATGGCTGCCACCCATGGTGGTTGTTGCCTCTATTTCTGTTTTGTCTCCATTTGCTACCGCCGGCCATCACTTGAGTGGCTGTGTGTGTACTTGTATTAGTGTGTGTTATTTTGGGTTTTGCTTTATAATATTGTATCCGATAACAAAAATAATAAAAGAAACTCGTAACCACCATGGTGAGGTGGTGGCCGCCGCCGTGAGCTGCCGTTGACCACCACTACCCGAGGTGGTAGTGGGTGCTGCCCGCCTTATGAAACCCTAATGGGCCTAAGGACTTTGTTTTGGGCCTATTGGGCTATGACTTAGTTGAAAACCCTAATTAGGGTTTAGAAAACCCTAATTTTAGAATTATTAGTTTGGACTTATCGGGACCCGCATTTTGGACAATTGGAGTGAAGATTTGACTCAAGCCCGATTTCATTGTATGTTTGGACTTAATGGAATAAGTCCTTAATGGATTAAGTCCTTAATGGGTTAAGTAGGAACACTTAACCCTAATTGATATTTTATGTGAAAAACCCTAATTGGGTTTGGGTTCTTATTGGGCCACTTATTGGACTAAGCTGTTGTGGTTCAATCGGGAACATATTATGGACTAAGGAAATTATTGGGTCTTAAGATAAGACCCATTATAGAGGCTTGGGCCCAATTTGGAAAATTATGCCATAATTGGGCCTTGATGATTTTAAGATACTGGGCCATTAAAATGCCACATGTTTGGACTGGACTAAATGGTCGGGCCTTAAGATATGCCCATATAGAGGTTTGGGCCCAATTTGAAAAATTGGGACATATGTTGGGCCTTGGTTGACTATTGGGTTTTTGGGCCTTTAGGGTGTGACTTTGGGCCTTGGTTTTGAACCAAGCTAGGTTAGGGGTAAAGTGGTCAATTTACCCCAAGTGTAGATTATGGTTGTGTATTGGAACCCAATTATTAATTGGGTGTCGTTTTGATGATTGACAGTTTAGG